GCGAATGTCCGTTGTAAATTGACTCAAGAAATCCAAGTGTCGGATCTGTCTAGGACTAGCATTATCAAGCTTCTTAGTAAAAGCAAACTGAAGCGGTTTATGATCTGTGTAGATGCAAAACTGTCTACCTTCTAACATGTGGCGAACATGGTGCTTCACGCTTTTGTAAGCACCTAGAAGTTCTCTGTCGTAAGTGCAATAATTTCGCTGAGCGTGAGTCAGACGCTCGGAATAAAAACCAAGTGGTTGGAAACTTCCTTCAACTAGCTGCTGCAACACAGCCCCAACGGCAATGTTTGATGCATCCACCATAAGAGCCAATTGAGCGTTTGATTTTGGAAAAACTAGATACGTTGCATCGCGAAGTTGAATCTTGCATGCGTCGAAAGCTGTTTTACCTTCTTCAGACCACTCGATAACCGTCTTATCATTTTTCTTATTGCCAAGAGTAAGTTTGTTTAAGGCCGCTTGTTGAGTTGCGGCACCCGGTAAGAATCGGCGATAGAAGTTAATCATACCCAAAAAACGTTTCAGATCACAAACGCACTGCGGTAATTTAAATTGCATTCGACTTTATCTGGTGTTGGTTTAACCCCATTCTTGTTAATTACAAATCCGAGAAAAATAACTTCATCCTTACCGAAATTACATTTGGAAGGATTAATCTTCATCTCAAATTGCTGCAGCCTGCGGAAAACAAGTTTCATGTGTTGTTTGTGTTCCTCAATGTTCTTTGATGCTACTAGAATATCATCAAGATACGCAAAAGCAAAATTAAAATCACGTATAATGTGGTCCATAAAACGTTGAAAAGTTTGACCAGCATTGCGTAAACCAAACGTCATCTGAATGAATTCAAACATTCCGAATGGTGTAGTGATAGCTGTTTTGGGAACATCTGCAGGATGAACAGGAATCTGATGATAGGCTTTACGAAGATCAATAGTCGAGAAAACATTGCAATCTTCTAGTCAATGTGTGAAATCATGTATATGCGGAATGGGATAACGGTCTGGCTCGGTAATAGAATTAAGTCTTCTGTAGTCACCGCAAGGTCTCCATTCTCCGTTTTTTTTTTAACCATATGCAAAGGACTGGCCTAAGGACTATTAGATGGTCTACATATTCCAGCGTCAAGGAGAGATTGAATCTCTGCTTTAGCAGCTTTCATCATGTCAGGAGAAAGGCGACGAAATTTTGAGAAAACCGGTGGTCCATTAGTGACGATATGATGAAATACATCACGAGTTGAAACTAGGGAAACCGGCGAATCATTAATGATTACAGGAAATTCTTTTAATAAAGTATGAAATTCATCATCATTATTGATTGCTGAAAGACCAGATATCGGGTGATTGACTGCAGTAAGAACACAGTTGACAGACAGGTTGGTAATGCCATCGTGTAGTTTGCGATTTCGTAAGTCGACGACAAGATTATGATATCCCAGAAAGTCTGCACCCAAGATAGGTTGTGAAACCTTAGCAATGGTAAAGTTCCAGGAGAAAGCGCGACGTAAGCCCAAACTCAATGAAAGCCTTTGAGAAAAAAATATTCTTGTAACGACTCTGGGATCCGGCGAGAAAAACCCCGGCTTAAGAAAAAAAGGTTCTTTACAGCATTTGGTGGAATAACACTAACTTCGGCTCCCGTGTCCACTAAGAACTTCAGACATGAGCTTTTGTCGAATAAAGTAAGTCGGTGACATGCTTGAGGTTGTATGTCTGGTATCGCCGTTAAAGACAGACGATCTAGTTTAACTTTTTGCTGCATGGTTCTTTGCATTTTTTGGCGCTACGACCAAACTTGCGATGATACCAGCAGAGACCTTCGTCGTCACGATCAACACTATTTCTTCGACTACGGTGTCTTGAGGCTGCACGGCTGCGAGAACGTCTGAGTTCAACCCTTAACTCGGCCACTTCCTTCGATAACTGTGATATCTGTTGATGAAGAGAAACATCACTTACCGTGGAGGTTGTCGGCAAACGAACTTCTTGAATAGAACAAGCATCGTTCGCTTCAGCAATCCTATCTGCCATGATAGCGATTTTATCCAGAGGTTCGCTGCTTACTGAAATGATAGCACGCATATTTGCTGGCAAGTGTGTCATCCACATTGACCTAAGTAAGGAATCATCCACTTGTGTTCCAGCCAAGTTTTTCATCTCACGCAGAAGTTGAGAAGGACGCAAGTCACCCAGATCCATGTCTTGAAGAAGCTTCTTTAACCTCTTTTGCTCGGAAATTGAAAATTCTTCAAGTAAACGCTTCTTCAGAGTGGAGTACGGATTTTCAGTTGGCATATTGAGAACCAGATCACTGACTTGTGCCAGGATAACCCCATCAATTGACGCGACTACTGTATGAAATTTAGTATGCTCCGTGGTAACACCTGAAGTTACAAACTGCGACTTAATTTGTGCAAACCATAACTCGGGCCTAGCGTGCCAGAAAGGAGGTATTTTCACTGCAATCCGAGACACTTCTTCTCTAATTGAATGATGCCGCTCAGTTGGATGTAATTGCTCCTGTTGAGAGATGTGACCAGTTGAATTGTTTGATTGAAACGTTCTGAATCTAGATTCATCATCTGAATGTGTCACCGGCATGCTTGTGTGTTGCGTGTTCAAATCACGTCAGGGTCACCAATATATAGCGGATTTCTGTATTTGAACGTATTTGAAAACACAGAGGCTATATCTAAATTATAAAATTATTTATTGTGTTCAACTTCTTCTTAATCAGAAAACTGAAAACTTCTTCTTCGAATATAATTTTTCTTTTAAATTTTAACAAGTTTTGTGTTGTCAATATTTTAAATTATAATCTAGTTTACTGCGATTACCGATAATATGGACAGCTACAAACTCATAAGTACATACTATGCATAAATCATGTTGTTGAATGTTTATATTTTTTTTCTATGTTTAATTTGCTTTCTTTTAAAAGTAGTTAAAATAACGCGCGTGCTGCTCATTTTTTTATGGTAAATATGCAACCCAATGTTGACTTTCGTCAACCTTGCACATATACGGTACTTCAAAATATAAAAACAACATTAATTTACAGTTTTTTGGCTTCACGATTGAACTAGCATTCTCGAACGCTCTCTTGCATTTCAAGTTCCAAATGCGTTTTATTTTTGATATTCTTTCTTTATATATTTTTATTTTATTACATTTCGAAGTGATTTTTTAAATTTCAATTTTTTAAATAAAGTGTGAATTAATTTCAATAAAATACAAACTGTTGTAATTTTTAGTTTTTTTTATAACTTTAACAAATACAAAAACTCTTGTATTTTTCATTGGCGCCCGAGCAGGGACTTGAAATCAAATAATAAATAATTTAAAAATTTTAAAAAAAGTGAAATTTAGTGATCATTGTTCGGTGGAGCTGCATTTGGCAGCATCGTGATTTTCGTTGAGTTTAATTTTCATTTTCCACGTGTGAAGTGGTTGCGGTGAATGTCGGTGTGGTGTCAAGTATCAGCACCAGACAAAAACCGCTAATAATAAAAAAAAAAAAAATCAACAAATTGACAAAGAAGAAGCCAATTTCATCTATCTGATGAAAACACGTGCAGGCTGCTGCTATTGGTTTTTTATTGCTTAATTATCATTGCTACTGTTGGCCGCTGCTACTGCAGTTTCCTGCTCAATTCTTATTGCTGCTGTTGGCCGCTGCTACTGCAGTTACTGCCATTAATTCCACATTGCTGCTACTGGCCGCTGCTACTGCAGACTGCTACTGCATTTCGCTGCTGCTGTTCGCTGTCACTGCAGATCGATACTGCTCTTCATTGCTGCTTCTATTCACCAGTGCTGCTGTTTTCTCTTTCTGGATGGAGTGCAACTGTAACACCACTGCCGTTTGCCAGGTAAGAAAGTGCAAATAATGAAATTGTTGTACCAGGTCATGCTCTGACTAAACAAAATAGTCAAGAAAAGTATTTCAAATAACTTTTGCACTGGTAATTATTTGCACTTTTTAAAATACATATATCTATATTTATCTATTTCTATAATAAATAATTCGACAAACGTGAAACAAATTTACGAAGCTGAGGTTGAGCTTCATTAACAAATACGTTCGGTAAATCCAATTATTTAATACAAATAATTGAGTAATTTGCAGGGGCAAATTATATACAAAGTGAATGCATTTTTCGTTTTCGTTTTCGCTAGTTACTTGCAACCACTTTGTTGGAATTTACCCATAATCACAATATTGATTATTTATCGTTTTTTATTATTCTATAAACAAAGTAAGTGCATCTTTCGTTTCGCTAATTTCTCGCGTTTACTTTGTTGGAATTTACTTACAACCGTCGCTCAACAATATTCAAATATTCTTATCGTTCTTTGCGCTGCATTGCCTTCTCTCTTCGAAATTTTAGTAAATTCACTATGTCAACGAAAAAGCGACCACCATCCCCACAAAAAAATGAAGATTTGGATAAACTAATCCAGCAGCGAGAAACTGTAGTGGCCAGTATCTTGCGTATTAAAAAAGTAATATCGGAAAAAATTGTTGATTTAAACCCTGTAGAACTGGAATGTAGGTTGGACATTCTCAATTCATATATTAAACAGGCCATGACTTGCCAACAAAAAATAGAGTGTATCAACGAGCTTGATGTATTTCGGCCAGATCTAGAAGAAATCTGCGTTGCTTCGAAATCAATGTTTCTACAGGCGCTAGGTAAAAATCGCAAGTCTAGTATCCCTGATACTTCGCATGAATGCAGCAATCATCGTTCCAGGCTGCCAAGTATGCGTTTACCTAAATTTAGCGGGAAACATTCTGAGTACAAAAACTTCATAAGCCTTTTTGAAAGCTTAGTGCACAATGATCAGTCGCTAACTGATATTGAAAAATTCAATCATCTCATTTTGTGTTTGTCTGACGAAGCTCTTGGTACAGTTAAGGCATTTCAACTCACTGAAACTAATTACTCAAAGGCATTAGCTAGTTTAAAAAGAGTTTACGATAACACTTGTCTAATCTTTTTCGATAGTATCTCGCAGCTTTTTGAGCTGCCAGAAATGAACAAGCCATCTGCTTCTGTATTACGCAATATCATAGATACTGTTTCTGCCATATATGAGTCCCTATTGTCAATAGGAGATGATAAGAACATTTCAAATGCGATTCTTATTCATTTAGTCATGTCAAGAGTCGATGCCGCCACGAAATCTAAATGGGAGGAGCAATTAGATTACAATAAGCTGCCGCTCTGGTCTGATTGCGAGACTGCGTTAAATAAGCGATACCAACACAGGCCAAAACAAGACAACTGGCAAGGTAAGAATGTAAAATCGTCACTTATGTGCAAGAAAAATAGTTCGCAAGAGGAAAGTAGATGTTTGTTCTGTAATGCGAAGGAACATGTAATAAATTCATGCTCCGCCTTTGCTGCCCTCTCAGTTACTGAACGGTTCAATTTCATTAAATCATCTTCGGCATGCATAAATTGTCTCAAGAAAGGGCACACGGTATCTAGATGCAAGGCGTCACGCTGCAGAGTGTGTAATCGGTCGCACCATACTCTTTTACACCAATATTCTACTAACACTCCTCAAACAGGTTTATCTTATAATCCAGAACAACCTATTATTTCTCGTGCCTCTGTGAATCATAGCTCATCGAATGACGATCAAATTATTCTAGCCACTGCAGTCATAACCATTCAAGGAAGATCTGGAGAGTATCAGCTGGCCAGAGCACTGCTCGATTCCGGTTCTCAAGTCAACCTTATAACCGAGGAACTTGCACAACGACTGCAACTAAAAAAAGAAGCGAAAACTCTAAACCTAATTGGCATTGGTGAAACAAACTCCACAGTACGGCAAAAATTACATGCCACTGTGAGATCACGTATTAACTCTTATGAGTTTTCTACTGATTTTTGGGTAATGCCTTCAATCTCCACTTACCAACCCGACAAATTTGTGTCAATGAGTAATTGGAATGTCCCTTCCAATCTTTCACTTGCTGATCCACACTTTCACAAACCGCAAAAGATAGATCTTCTAACTGTTGTCGATTGGACAAATAAAACAAGGTACTAATTTTCCAACGCTCCAGAAAACATTACTCGGATGGATTGTATCTGGAAGATTCAAACATGCCGAAAGCCCCAATGCTAAAATTTGCAATCTAATAAGCTCAGATAAAGAAAAGTTGACAGATGACTGTTCCTTAAACTCTCTTGTGAAAAAATTCTGGTAATTGGAAGAAATTCCCAAGGAGCTCACTGTCAAAAAATACACAATAGAACAACAACACTGTGAGACCAAGTTTCTCAACACAATTTTACGCTTACCTTCAGGGAGGCTTAAGGTGCAGCTTCCTTTCAAGTCCAACCCCAACCTTCTAGGTCAGTCATATGAAACAGCAAAAAATCGTTTTCTCTCACTGGATCGCAGGTTGTCGAAAGACTGTATGCTTCAGAAGCTGTATATGGAGTTTATGGCAGAGTATCGTGACTTAGGTCACATGACATTAACTACTGGCAAGTTTTCTTCGACTCCTCATTATTATATACCGCATCAGTGCGTGTTGCATCCTCAGAGTGCTTCGACAAAACTTCGCGTCGTGTCCCATGCTTCGTGCCGAACATCTTCAAAAGTGTCATTGAACGACATTCTAATGGTTCGTCCAACGGTACAAGAAGAATTGTATTCAATTCTACTTCGCTTTCGTATGCACAAATACGCGATGACTGCTGACATTACAAAAATGTACCGTCAAATCGAAGTTGACGAGGCAGATCGTAACTTCCAGCTTATTCTCTGGAGGGAAAACCTACGGATCAGATTAGTGTTCATAAACTGAACGCGGTGACATATGGTACTTCACCTGCCTCTTTCTTGGCAACACGTTGCTAAAACTACTTAAGTGATCTGTACAAGAACTCTCATCGAGTTGGATCAAGGGTTATCCAACATGGCTTCTATGTCGATGACCTATTGACTGGTGCTGACAGTCTGAAAGAACTGGAAACAATTCGTATCCAGCAGGACTTAAATTAGTGAAATGGTTTTCAAACCATTTAACATATGATTCGGCAGACTTTTTCCTAAAGGTTAATAATACTGATTCTACAAAGATCGACTTTTCGATCCCCTCGGAATAGTATACCCAATAGTGACCAAGGCAAAAACTTTATTACAAGAACTTTGGCTTCAGAAGCTTGACTGGGATGAGTCAATTCCTATGCATCTCGATTCTAGCTGGCAAGCATTTAAAAGTAACCTGACTCAGCTAGACTCTATTTCCATTTAACGGTATGTACATATTCATTTAATTATAAAATGCGATATTCACGTTTTCGCCGATGCATCAATAAGAGCATACGGCTGTTGCATCTACGTCCGAATCCATGATTCGAATGGGATTCATTCTGAGTT